CTTGTGCAGTTTATTTTTTTAACTTTGGTGCAAGAATTTATATGTATTTGCTCACCCTAATGTTCTATTATGTCAAGATTTTTTTCTATTTTAATTGGTGATTAAACTCCTTAGCTATTCTTCCCAGCACATGTACTTAGTCAGTAGTCAGACTTTCTAGGTCTTTGGCTATCATTAATAACAGTACTAATGAGGTAAGAGGTTTGGGGTAAGGTTCTTGGCTTTGCACTCAAGGAAGCGTACACCTGAGTAACAAAGGCCAGTTGGGCAACGAGCCACTATGCTGTCAGGAGCTAGGTGCATGTCTGCTAGCCTCTCTGATAAACCATGATGGAACACATGGATTAGATCAGGGGCCTACATATGGTTCCCCACAGCACCCTCCCTCCCAAATCTAGATGGGCAGAAAAGCTGGATTGGCGAGTTTCCATCCTCATGAGGCCCGTTCTTCTCTAACTGCCAGTGCACCTGTGCCTCTTATCTTCCTAGAGCCAGTGAAACAGGCAGTAGCTCTTGCCCTCAGAAACTTCTGAAATGGATCATAGCAATACATTAGTGACATTCTTTATAAGACCTCACTGGTCCCTAGGACAAAACTTCACCTCCTTTTTCATTTCCTATTCTGGTTGTCCAGTGTCGCTCCCAGAGATATTAATAGAGTAAGCTTAAGTGATACAGTGAAGGGTGCCTACATTTATACAACATGACACCACCACTCCCCACCCTTATAGTATTAAATTTCCAGAGAAAAATTCTAGTCCCAAAATGTCAATCTCATACCTATATAAATTAACGTCTCAGAGAAATCAAAACTTAAAATTCTCTTCTCCTCGTTTTCTTCCTCTGCTCCATCTTAGCCAGAGGGGCCCACCAAGATGCTTGAGAAGGCCTAGGTTACCTCAACAGCTGCAGCTGGAACTGTCATCCATCAGAGTGGACAGAGCAACTCCCTCATCCTCTGCACTGGGCCAGCCCAACCTGAGGCCTCGTTCTACTTCTCCCAAGTGTCAGAATGTGACAGCATTAGATCCTTGCCCACAAAGTTGTGTATCCCTGTCAGTGTTGTGAGCTGCAGACCATACCAGAGACTTAGTACTAGCTAGAGGTAGGAGGGTAAACAAAGACAGCAGGACAGAAGAAGATAGAAAAGCTCCTCTGTTTTGGTTTCTTATCTAGAGTCCATAACCTGAAAACACATGACTAAGATTAAACCCCAAGCATTCTTCTACTAGAGCCCAGGTGGTGCAGTGGTTAAGAGCTACGGCAAACTACGGCTGCTAACCAAAAGGTTGACAGTTCGAATACGCCAGCTGCTCCTTGGAAACCCTATGGGGCAGTTCTCTTCTGTCCTGTAGGGTTGCTCTGAGTCAGGATCGACTCGACAGCAATGGGTTTGGTTTTGTTTGGTTTTTACTCTTCTACTGGACTTGACCACCTGTTTCCCATCTCCCACCCCTCATCTGCCAATGACTTTAACACCTGTCTTGCTTCCCCTTTTTGGCCTCTATTCCTGTCTCTGTACTTGAAGGCATCCGTATCTACGTGAGTGATCCATCTACCCTTGGTCTTTCAGCTTCTCAACTTCCTCTGCCACCCAGTCCTTGTCATCCCCAGTATCTGCACTGCCTTTGAAAGCTAGACATTGAGCATTCCACCCTATTTATCACCTCCTGTCATCCCACGTCACTACTTCTCTGCCCATGTCCTCACCTTCCTCCTCACTGTGTTTAAGGTTTGTGTGGCTTGTCATAATCCTTCCCTTGCTAACATCTATTACTCCTTCACGCTAAACTTTCATGGCATCTTACTTTCATGATAAGGTCTCTATCCTATTAACCCACATATATGCCTGCATCTGATCTGTTTCTGGGAAACAAACATTACGGCTGGGGTCAGGGGGTGGATTGTGCTGACGGGTCTCACTTTGAATTCATGACCACAGATCTAAAATGGGTAGTTAATGCCACCTGGTAGTCCTACTACAGTTACCTAGAGGGTTTCATTTCCCACTTGACAAACACACCTTCTCTCTCCTCGAACCTCCAGCATTTCCTCTTGCCTATTCCAGTACACTCACACCTTAGCTTGTGATCTGGCCTCTTTCTTCTCCAAGAAATCAGACAAGAACACTCTTTTATCTTTCCACTTTAAAGAGTTGACTTGCTTCCCCTCACATTCTCTTCTCACCCTGTTCTTTCCAAGCTTGACTCCACTGGGACTGCTCCAGTCAAGATCACTAGTGACCTCCATCTTGCCAAATCCAAAAGTCACTTCTGTGTCCTTATCTTTCTTGTCCTTAGAGCAGCATCAAGACAATCACTGCCTCCCTTGTCCTCAAAAAGCTTTCTTCCCTTACTTCCGCTGGTCTGACAGCTCCGTTGCCATTTCCTTTGTGACCTCCTGTAAACATTGGAGAACCTGAGACTCAGTCACTGGCCCACTTCTCTTCTCTTTTGACCCACTGTCCTTTGAGGATGTCATCCAGTCCTGAGGCTTTAAATACTATCCATATGCCAGAGACTCCCAAATTGGTATCTCCAGCCCAGTTAACTTCCTTCCCAGTTGTGGACTGGTATACCTAAATATCTACTTGATATTTTCACATGGATGTCTGTTGAGGATCTCAAACTTCATATGGCCTAACTAAAACTTGATTTCCTTCTTCTCCCCATGCTGGTCCACCCCACTTCTCCCATCTCAATAAACAGTACCATCTTCTACCCACTTGCACAAACAAAAAATCTAGGAGTTATCTTCATTACTCTCTTTCTCTTACCCCTCACCTCCAGTCTATCAGCGAGTCCTGGTTTATTCTGAGCGTATCCACTTCTCTCCAACTTAACTGCTACCACTCTTATCCAAGCCATCATCGCCTCTCACCTGTGTTGCTGAAGTAGCCTCTCAACAGGTCTTCCAGCTTCCATTCTTACCCCCTTCTAGTTATTTCCTCACACAATAGCCAGTGACCCTTTTGAAACTGTAAATCTAATCGTGTCATTCCTTGCCTTAAAATCTTAGGGCTTCTCACTGTGCCTCCTCACCTGGCCTCCAAGGCCTCTCCAACCTTATTATACCGTCCTCCCTTCTGTTGCATCCTCACCTCACCCAAGCTGAGGGTGGAGGTGGCAAAGATCCTGTCTCTCTTTTGCTGCTGTGTCCTCAGAACCTAGCACGGTGCCTGAAACATAGTCTGTGTTTGGTATGTATTTTTGAATGGTTCCGTCAGTCAGTCATGACTCTTATGCTTCATGAGATCATGTGGGAAAATCTACCCATACATAAAAAATTTTGAAACTTTTAGTGGTGGCATCTAGTCCCCAGTCTTGAATTGGGTCTTTCTTCTTCTTAGAGTTGCACTTTATTTGAAATCCTCTAGCTTCCATTTTCCCTGTCCCCTCCAGATGCTGAGTGGGATGGTTTCTGAGATGGGTCACAGCCTCTGATTCTTGAGGGTAGGGCTCCACATCTGGTGCGGCCTTGCATTCCCACAGGCTGGCCTCCAGCTCTTCTCTCACACATCTCCATCCTCAGCAGGATCCAAAGGCTTTTTTTTTCAGCCCTGGCCACAACGGCTACAGCCACTGCTCTCCCCTGCTCCAGATTCCTGAGGACTATGTTTTGCCTCCTAAGGAAGGTGCCCCTGTATCCCCACCTTTATCCCAGAAGAGAGTCACCCCAACAGATCTCTGAACTGAAGGTGCTCTTGTTGAATATTTCAAAGCCTGTGCCTTCTTCCCTTCAGTGAACTCAACCTTCTAAACTAGTGGTACTTCTGTAACAAGTTCTTTCTGCCACCTCCTTCCCCACGGGCAGGAGAAGCACCTCTGGAGTACCATCCACCTATCAAATAGCTCCGCTTTGTTTTTAAGTCCAACCTGCTTCCTACATCTGCCATGTGGAGGGCTAATTTAAATAAACCCTGTAGCCTTCGGGTAGTGGTTAAGAGCTATGGCTGCTGACCATAAGGTTAACAGTTCAAATCTACCAGGTGCTCCTTGGAAACCCTATGGGGAGCAGTTGTACTCTGTCCTTTATGGTCACTGTGAGTTGGAATTGACTCGACGGCAACAGGTTTGGGTTTTTTTGGTTCTGTAGCCTTCACCTGGCTGAGTAGGATAATTTTTCACCATCAGTCCAACATCTATAATAGTCTTCTCTTTACTTCATAACCCATTGCCAGTGAGTCGATTCTGACTCATAGTGACCCAGTAGGACAGAGTATAACTGCCTCATAGGGTTCCCAATACTGTAAATCTTTACAAAAGCAGACTGACACATCTTTCTCCCATGGAGTGGCTAGTGGATTTGAACCACTGCACCACCAGGGCTCTTTTATTTCATACTGTCCCTTAAGTCCTAACCCCATAAATTAATCAGACTTGTTTTCTCTTAACACACCTTACCTGTTTCCCTACCTGTAATAGCTACATCACCATGAGGCTCACTGAACAGTGTTAATCTTCCCTCTCGGGTTGGGCCAGATCATATGTAACCACCTTGGACCGTTGTCCCCATTCATCAGCGAGAGCAGGCTCCTGTTTGCTTTCACTGTCAACCAACTCCCTGACCACAGCATTAGGATGGGACTCTCAGTGTTCACCCCTGTCTCTCCCCGGAGGCATCCTTCCATTCTGTCCCCATTCTTCTCTGTGATGCCACTTTGCCTAAAGTAATAACATCTAAAATATCTAGAAGCTATAGGACAGTAGTGTTTCATTTTCTCATCAGAGTGTAACCATTAAGATCTCAACTCCTCCTCTAAGGAAATTGCTCTCTCTCTCCAGCTCACTTACTCTCTCACTCTCATACCGATTGGAACCTAGCAGTTCTAATGGTTTTAAAGTCCTGGTCTTCAGTCCTGGCTGATAAACTGTGTAAAGGCAGTGCTGGGAGGGAACTGTGGTAGCAAAAAATCATTCCACTCCCCTACGCCCAGTTTAAGAAAAAGCTCTTTGGTTGAAGAGAGGGCCCAGATCCCCCAGCCCCAAGACATCCCCAGGGTGCTGGCTGCAGCAGCACATATACTACTAAAGTTAGAACAGTACAGAGATTAGCATGGCCCCAGTGCAAGGATGACACACCAATTCATGAAGCATTCCAAGACTTCCCCAGGGCATAGATGGAAAAACACTGATCTGTGGCACTTCCTCGATCCACTACTTTAATTAATCCTGTTTTTTTTCAAATGAGCTCACTGTCATTTATAAAGGGGTTACTGATTGAAAACATAAGAAGAGTCACTAAAATGTGCTTTTTTTTCTTTTTGCCTTTTTATATAAGTGAGGTCATCCAATATTTGTTGTTTTGTGATTGACTTATTTCACTCAGCATAATGTGTTCAAGCTCCATCCACAGCATAGCATGTATCAAGACATCGCTTCTCCTACTGAGTAGTATTTCATTGTATGTACGTACCACATTTTGTTTATCCATTCATCTGTTAATGGGCACTTAGGTTATTTTCACCTTTTGGCTATTGTGAATAATGCTGCAGTGAAGATTGGCATACAAGTCTCTGCGTTTCTGCTTTCAAGTCTTTTGGGAGTGAAATTGCTGGGTCATGTGGTAGGTTAGTTTGAGGAACCACCACACTGTTTTCCACAATGGCTATACTATTTTGCATTTCCACCAGCAATGGATAAGGGTTCCAGCTTCCCCCCATCCTCACCAACATTTGTTATTTTCTTTTTTTTTTTTTAATCTTAGCCATACTAGTGAGAGTGTAATGGTATCACCTCTCTGAGGGCTAAATGACAGAGCATCTTTTCGTGTGTATGGTGGTAAAATGGGCTTTTAATAGTGATTTTATTTGGACTGAGACTATAGCGATTTTTCTTTTTCTATTTCTGCTTAATTTTTCCATATATTTATAGTAATTTTATGGTTGAGGATTTTTTAAGTGACCAATAGTGAGGTATCTTAAGATTTTACAAAAAAGTGCTGTAAAGAAATGGATAGTTTAACTGTGCTTTGTTTTATTTATGTATTTCTACCCTAACTAGTTCCACAGATACTGAACAAATTCATTTACCAGACACTTACTGAGACCTCCATATGCCAGGCATTGTGTAAGGTACTGGGAATACAAAGATGAAAACAGATACCCCCGCCCACAAGGAGCTCACACTGTAGGGGGAACTGAGCCAGGTGCAAGCAAAGATAGGCAGTAAATCATCTCCTGCCTCTCTAGCAAGGACAGAAACATAAGTGCTAGCAACTTGAAGGTACCATTGCAGATTCAAGTGATAAAGATAAGAGGGATAGAAGTATACTGTGAACGGGGCTGTGGTGAAGCACCATGGCTGGGTGGTCATGTAAATGGGTTTGGTTTTTCTGGATTAAAGTCGGACGTGAAAGCAGCTATAAACTATGGAAACACCCAAGGAGCAACCAAAACAAACAAACCAAAAAAAAAAGAAGTGAATTAGAACAAAGACATTCACTCCTCCTCTTCCACCCAGCCATTGAATGTTGGATATAGCTGTGAGTCGGATTGTCACAGTTCTTTACCAGACTCTGTAGTATTGCAAATTAGACTGTAAATAAATAATATCAGAAGGCTGTATAGCTGGTAGTGGGATTAAGTCTTTTAATATAGATGCCCTGGTGAGGATCAGAAGTTAATTAGAATGATGTTAAGTAATGTACTAATCCTCCAAGTTTTCAATACCTTGGGGAAGAAGTGTGTCTGAGTGAGAGGTAGCTATACTGAGAGAGGGGTCAGGCTGCTCATGGGGCAGCCCTGCCTCTACCACACATACTCATCAAACCCTCACCTCTCCCATTTGCCCCTCCAGGAGAAGTGTGCCCAGTACTGGCCATCTGATGGGCTGGTATCCTACGGAGACATCACAGTGGAGCTGAAGAAGGAGGAGGAATGTGAGAGCTACACCGTCCGAGACCTCCTGGTCACTAACACCAGGGTAAGATGGGTGGTGGGTGGGGCTCCTCCCATGAGGAGAGCAAGAGTACCCCTGCCTCCTGACCCCCCATTTTCTAAAGGAGAACAAGAGCCGGCAGATCCGGCAGTTCCACTTCCATGGCTGGCCTGAAGTGGGCATCCCCAGCGACGGGAAGGGTATGATCAGCATCATCGCAGCCGTGCAGAAGCAGCAGCAGCAGTCAGGGAACCACCCCATCACCGTGCACTGCAGGTACCCATAGCCCCGGCCCTCGGAGAGGGGAGAGAATGATGAGAAGCAGGCAGCAGGGAGAGTGAGGGTGAGTGTGTGCCAGTGAGGAAAGCTGGGCAAAAGTGGGACGTTGGCAAACACATCAGTCAGGTTTAATGACCAGAACAGGGCCAGATGATAAGCGAGGACCTCGGAGTTTGAACTTAGCACATTAAGCACGAGGAAACCAAGAACATTAAGATATTGGAGCAGTTGGGGTGGTGATGCTGTATAGAGGAGCAGCCAGGGAAGACTGGCAATGGGGAGACCAGTTGGGTGATGGGGGTAAGGGACTGGCCTCCTTAAAAAGCACAGGAAAAGGGGAGGATGGGAGATATTTTGAAAAACAGTTTGAGGGAAAATGAATAAGAATGAAAACATAGGGTGAACAGGAAGAGGAGTCAAAGATGTCTCCCAGGTCTGAGCCGGGGTTACTGATAATGGTTAGTGTCACCAATAGAAGTAAGAAAGATGGTTAGAGGACTTGTTCCAGGGGAAAAAGTAAATTTTGTTTGAGGCATGTTCTTTGAGATTGCATTTTATGTATATTTTTTTTTTACCACAAGCTTATACTTTACAATCAGGAAAAAAGCTATATCCTTAAAAAGGGAAGGAAGAATATATCTAAAATTTCTACAAGTTGGTTTCTAAAATAGAAAAATTAACAGAAAACCTTTCAGAAATGTATCCACTAAATGTTCTTGCACATGGCCAAAATGAAATTGTTGTAAGGATTGAAACATTGCTTATAATAGTAAAAGATTAGAAACACTCTAAACATGTATTCATTAAGCTGTGGTATATCCTCATACTACAGAGCTTCAAAAAATTAATGAGGAATCTGTTTATGTGCTGATGTTATTTACAGAAGAACACACAAGGATATAATGACATTGGTTGGAGGAGAACTGAGTGGCTAAGAAATGGGGTAGGAAGGAGACATTTCACTATTTAGCCTTTTGGGCCTTTCTGAAATTTGAACTATGCTGTTTATTAACTATATAAAAATAAACCTTTAAAAAAATTTTTATAAAACAAAAAAATGGCAAAGGACATCAACTAATACAAATAGGTAATAAAAATGAAAAGATGCTAAATCTTACTAGTAATCTGAGAAATGGGAGTGAAGACATTGAATTGGCAAAATTTAAAGTCAGATAATTACTTCCTTGCACATACTCTCTTATCTCCCATGCTCCTCTCTACCCTGGTCACCCTCTCTTGGCAAACCTCAGATTCTCTGGCTTATACTGCACCGACGTCCATGCAGCTGAATGTGGCTGAAGAAACGTGAACAATCGTGTTTACAGGACTCATTTTAAACGTGTGACCACTAACCTCATGGCCGGCCCCTGCTGCTGCCCTGCAGTCCTTCTACATCTCCCACTCTTGTAGGCCCAGGGTAGGCCCATGGCCAAATCTGGCTTGTCATGTGTTTTTATAGACCTGCAAACTAAAAACTTTTTTTTTTTTACATTTTCCAATGTTTTTGAAAAAATAAAAAGAATATCTCACAACGTGAAAATTATATGAAATTCAAAGTTCAGTGTCCATAAATAAGGCCTTATTGGAACACAGCCGTACTCATTTGTTTACATGTTGGCTATGACTGCTGTCATGCTACAGCAGCTGAGTTGAATAGTTAGGACAGAGACCGTATGTGGCACTCCCATCCTTCTCACTGCTGCTTGGCACATTACAAATTGCGATTATGCATTATAACTTGATATTGCCTCTTGACCGGCGACACCTAAAATATTTTCTATGTGGCCCTTCACAGAAGAGTTTGCCAACCTTTGTCCTAGATGATGGTTTCACACCCCTCTCCTCATCCTCCAACACCTCCTCTACCATCCTCATATTTAGCAGATGACCATGTTTTCTATTTCACTAAAGAAGCAGAAGCTATTAGAAAAGAACTTCCATATGCTCCCAGTACCACACTCCCAGCTCCCTGCCCTGGTGCTGTACTCTGTATCCCTCCTGTTGAGTGGGTGGGTTGTCTGTAATTCTCTCTAAAGCCAGCTTTATTAGTCATCAAGTGCTGTGTAATATGACCACATACTTGCATCTTAAAACACATTTATTATCTCTCAGTTTCTGTGGTCAGGAGTCTGAGCACGACCTAGCTGGGTTCTCCACTTCAGAGTCTCACAAGCACACAGGTCAAGGTGTTGGCCAGGGCTGCAGTTTCATCTGAGGCTCAACTAGGGAGAGATCTGCTTCCATGCTCATCACATGGTTGTTGACAGCACTTAGTTTCCCATAGGCTGCTGGACGGAGGGCCTCTGTTTCTTGTCACATGAACTTTCCCAACATGGTTGCTTGCTTCTTCCAAACCAGCAGGAGAGAAAAAGTCTCCTCACAAGACAAGCATTATAATCTTATAACTACAGTCACATACATGTAATCACGTACATACCATCACCCTTGCCATGTTCTGTTGGTTAGAAGCAAGTCACAGGTCCTGCCTATACTCAGTGGGGGGGACTCACACGAGGGTGTGAATACCAGAAGGTGGGAACCTTGGGGACCACCAAGAGTCTGTCTGTCACACCCACCCTCCACTTTGATATTGTCTTAATTATCTAGTTCTACTATAACAGAAATACCACAAGTGGATGGCTTTAACAAAAAGTTTATTCTGTCACAGTTTAGGAGGCTAGAAGTCCGAATTCAGGGTGCCAGCCTCAGGGGAAGGCTTGCTCTCTCTGTTCGTCTCTGGGGGAACATCCTTGTCATCAGTCTTCCCTGGTCTAGGAGCTTCTCAGTGCAGGGATGCCGAGTCCAAAGGACCTGCTCTGCTCCTGGTTCTTCTTGCTTGGTGATAATGAGGTCCCTCTCCTCTCTGCTCACTTCTCTCTTTTATATCTCAAAAGAGATTGACTCAAGATACGACCTAATCCTGTAGATTGTGTCTTGCCTCATTGTCTCT